AATTAGACACATGTGCAACTCTTGGGTATCTTTATTGAGGAAACGTTTCCTCAATAAAGATACCCAAGAGTTGCACATGTGTCTAATTTATCAACATGTCGGTTCTCTGAACCATTCATCTACAAAACTGCTGTTTGAAAGCAGTGGTCTCTGTCTCTGGCTGTATTGCCTCTTGATCACCAAGATACACTTATTTTACAAACTTGTGCATAGTGTACATATGTGTAATTACCTATAATCATTCTTGGTGAAGGAAAAATATAATTAAAAGACAGGATAACAGGCTTTTCTTACCTGGGTGCATAATAACATGTATATATATATATATATATATATATATATATATATATATATATATATATATATATATATACTATATATGTAGTAGTGGAGAGAAGGCAGGGTAGAGATGGGCCTAGGAAAGGTTGGAGGGAGGGAGTAAAGGAGGTTTTGAGTGCTAGGGGCTTGGACTTCCAGCAAGCGTGTGTGAGCGTATTAGGTAGGAGCAAATAGAGACAAATGATTTTTAGGACTTGACATGCTGTTGGAGTGTAAGCAAGGTAAGATTTATGAAGGGATTCAGGGAAACCGGCAAGCCGGACTTGATTCCTGGAGATGGGAAGTACTGTGTCTGTACTCTGAAGAAGGGGTGTTAATGTTGCAGTTTTATAACTGTAGTGTAAAGCACCCTTCTGGCAAGACAGTGATGGAGTGAATGATGAAAGTTTCTCTTCTTTAGGCCACCCTGCCTTGATGGGAAACGGCCGATGTGTTTATATTTATATATATATATATATATATATATATATATATATATATATATATATATATATATATATATATATATATATATATATATATATACTGTATATATATATAATATATATATATATATATATATATATATATATATATATATATATATATATATATAATATATATATATATAATATAGGGAGGTACCACCTCTAGAACTGTCCTGGGGACCCTCATCCTCAGAGAAAAGAATAAACTTACTTAAGCGATAACTCAAGGTTCTCCCTAAAGTTGTTTGAAAATTGTTTTCTCCTACCACCCCCTATATTTTATAGATATTTTATTTAAAGACAAAATACACTGACAAAACATTCACTCTGGTCAGATCACTGACAGTGATAGGGATATTTGTGAAATTCTCAATACCTACTTCCTCTCAGTTTTCACACGGGAAAATACTAGCAATATTCCTGACATAATAGATTATGTAGAACAGGACGATAATAAACTATGTACGATTGCGGTAACTAGTGACATGGTCCTCAGACAAATAGAGAAACTAAAACCTAACAAATCCCCAGGTCCTGATGAACTGTTTGCAAGGGTGTTACAGGAATGTAAAGAGGAACTTAACATACCTTTGGCTAATTTTTTAACGTATCACTACAAACTGGCATAGTGCTTGATAAGTGGAAAATGGCAAATGTAATACCTATTTGCAAGGCAGGTGACAGGTCCTTGGCTTCGAACTATAGACCAGTAAGCCTTACCTCCATAGTGGGAAAATTTATGGAATCAATAATTGCCGAAGCAATTCGTAGCCATTGTGATAGGCACAGATTGATTAATGAATCTCAACACAGTTTTACAAAGGGGCGTTCCTGTCTTACGAATTTACTAACATTTTTCACTAAGGTGTTTGAAGAGGTATATCATGGTAATGAATATGATATTGTGTATATGGACTTCAGTAAATCTTTCGATAGAGTTCCACATAAGAGGCTACTGAGGAAACTTAAGGCACACAGAATAGAAGGAGAAATTTTTTCCTGGGTAGAGGCATGGCTGACAAATAGGCAGCAGAGAGTTTGCATAAATGGGGAGAAATCAGAATGGAGGCACGTCACAAACGGTGCTCCTCAGGGGTCAGTGTTGGGCCCGTTGTTGTTCACAATTTACATAAACGACATAGATGAGGGAATAAATAGCGACATAAGCAAATTTGCTGATGACGCCAAAATAGGCCGTCCAATTCATTCTAATGAGGACACTAGAGCACTCCAGGATGATTGGAATAGACTGACGCAAAGGTCGGAGAAGTGGCAGATGCAGTTTAATATAGACAAATGCAAAGTTCTAAATGTTGGACAGGAAGATAACCATGTGACATATAAACTAAATAATGTAGATCTTAATACTACTGATTGCGAAAAGGATTTAGGAGTTCTGGTTAGCAGTAATCTAAAACCAAGACAACAGTGCATTAGTTTTCGCAATAAAGCTAACAGAATTCTTGGCTTCATATCTAGAAGTATAAATAATAGTAGTCCTCAGGTTGTTCTTCAACTCTATATATCCTTGGTTAGGCCTCATTTAGACTACGCTGCTCAGTTCTGGTCACCGTATTACAGAATGGATATAAATGCTCTGGAAAACGTACAGAGGAGGGTGACAAAGATGATCCCATGTATCAGAAATCTTCCCTATGAGGATAGACTGAGAGCCCTGAATCTGCACTCTCTCGAAAAGCATAGAATTAGGGAAGATATTATCGTGGTGTATAAATGGAAAACAGGAATAAATAAAAGTGATGTAAACAGCGTGCTGAAAATTTCCAGCCAAGACAGGACTCGCAGCAATGGTTTCAAGTTGGAAAAATTCAGATTCAGGAAAGATATAGGAAATCACTGGTTTGGTAATAGAATCGTGGATGAGTGAAACAAACTCCTGAGTACAATTATTGAGGCTAAAATGTTGTGTAGTTTCAAAAATAGATTAGATAAATACATGAGTGGGTGTGGGTGGGTGTTAGTTAGACCTGACTAGCTTGTGCTGCTGGGTCTGGTGCCGTGTTCCTTCCTTGAGTGGAGGTGACCAGACTGGGTGAGTCATTGGGGACATGGACCTGCCCCGCATGGGTCGGTAGGCCTGTTACAGTGTTCCTTCTTTCTTATGTTCTTATGTTCTTAAAACAATATAAATAACAACTCAGAGCAACATCTCGAATACTTCGTCCAGCTCCCCGGCGGTGGGCCGCGTGCCCAGAATGCTGCAGGCATTTCCTCTCTGGATCGCAACACTGAGTCTCTGAAAGAGGAAGCTGGTCGCTCTGTAGTCCTTGGTTTCTATGACGAGCTTCTCACCCAGCTCTGAGAATCTTTAGAGCACACTTGCCTCTTGCTCCAAGGGTCTCCGACCCTATTGGGATGAAGTTAAAACATGGGGGAAGGTCTTCATATTTGCGGATCTTCTGGGTCACCCTGTGGCTGGCAGCTCCACCCCCTTCATCTTGGGAGTATGGCAGGTAGGTGTCTGCCAATGTGGCAGTACAGGTGTAGTCCCAGGCAATCTGCTTTCCATCCTTTCAGGGTAGCATAGTGGCTCCATCAGGACGCTTTTGACTTCCGTCAGATCTCTGCACTTGGGGTTCCCGTTGAGCTGGGCAACGGGCTGTGGCGAGGCTTCTCTTTATGATGTCATTAGCCTCCTCATGTCTGGCATACTTCCCTTCTGCTGTGTGACACACGAGACCATGAAGTCCGAATTGATCAGCCATCGCCCTGCCGCAAATACACCTATGTTCGGTGAGGATGGGGGCGGCTAGGCGAAGAGCAACACCAATCCGAATAGCTGTGGATCGAGTCGAGTGCCCAGGGAGGAACTGAGAACAGCTAAAAGGAAATCTCCTGAGTGTGGTGCCTTCACTGCCAGGAGACGAGCTTTGTCCTTTCCTGAAGCGTTGGTGAGCATTGTGTTGGCGATTTTTTCCATGATCGGTTTGTCCCAGTGGGACTGTTTGTGTTCTTTTGAAGGAGCTGGTCTACTGGAGGAGTCTGCAAGGGTGTCCCACCGAATCACTGCTTCAGTAAACCTGGGGTCTTGAGCTCCTACCACGTCTCTCAAGCGTTTGGGGACAATCTTCTTGACTTATGCACTGGAAGCCAAACACGAAGACAGAAAAGCAGGTAAAGCAACATTCGTTGCTTTGCGCACCCCTATACCTCCCAGTCGCACTGGCAGGGTTGCCTGATCCCATTGCTGATCCTCTAGTGACAGGTTCAGTGCCTTCTTAAAGGTTGATCTCAGGTGTGCGTCATATTCGTTGAGTGTTGGGTTGTCAAAAGAAGGTGCACACCTCAGGAAGTAAGTGAGTCTTGGCATAGTAAGACACCTTGTGGGGAGATACAGAGCATCATGGGCATCAAGATATATATATGAATAAACAGAAGGGTGGACGAGAACGAGGGACTCGACTCATGGTCTTGGCAATAGCAGGTCCAGTGCTGTACCACTGAGCTACGAGGCTCATAAGAGATAGAATTTGCATCCAGCACAACTGTCACTTCGGTACAGTTGTATCAGCGACAGCAACTGTGATCCTTCTGTCTCCCTCCCGCAGCCCCAGAAACTTTCCTAGTACATCTTTATTCTTCTGTTTATTGAGAGTCGTTCATACCAACTTTTCTTGAGTGTATAAACTATATGGCTTTGAGGGTATGAGCATATATATAATTTGAGAGATTCTGACAACACTCCCAACGCAGCTCGTCCTCTTAACCACAGAAAACATGGTACTGTTGTGAGAAACAGTCAAATTGGTGGCTTTTGAGGATCCCTTGAACAGTTGAAATATGACGTAGTTACATTCTCCCCTCTCCCCCTCCCCTCCCCTCCCCTCCTCTCCCTTCCCCTCCCCTCCCCTCCCCTCGCATCACCTCCCTTCCCCTCCCATCACCTCCCCTCCCCTCTCCTCCCCTTCTTTCTCCTGAGAGAAAGCGGTTTACTATAGTTACGACATACTATTTGCCATTTTAATTTCTACACTAAAACTGTTCTTGCAACCTGAGCTATTCTCGCTAAAAATACATAAATCATAAAATATCTTAATTTACTTAACACATGAATAACTTTAAGCCTGGGAAAGGCTGACGCGGTCACAGCGTCATGTTACCCAAAATAAATATTTATTTTGTTGACATAAGAGTGATACCACATACTCAATTTTTTTTTATCATATCTTTCAGAGGTTAAGGATGATGAGGAAGCCAGAGTGTTGTGGGAAGGTTCAGCCGCGTCCCCCTGGCACCAGACGGAGTCACCACCGGCGACGCAGACGACCCTGTTGATCACTGGCGACTCCTTGAGGAAGACTAAAGGGATGAATGTGAAAATACAGGAGAATGAACTAAGAAAAGGAACCAAAAGATTAAATCTGAAACGATACCCAAGCGATGCAAACGATACCGCTACGTTAAATTATGCTAACACGAAACAAAGTGTGAACAGTAAGTTGAAGATAAGAGATAAACAAGCGATAGGAGTACGTACGGAGCAGGACACTACAGGAACTAACAACAACAGAAAGACAATGAATAGAAAAGGAACACAGAAAAGACAACAAGAGATCCAGATGCGACGAAGAATCAATGAAGCCTCACTTCACCGCACTAAAACTAAAGCTTCGACTCAACAGAAACACAGAAATAAACTGGAAAACAAAGTCACGAGAAAAACTGCTTCAGAGACGAACTCCACGACCCTCATAGAGAGAGTGATGCTGCAAGAGGCAGCGAAAACCGTGCATGATGTGATCCAGCAACGTCAAGAGGAGGAAGAAGCTAGCAAAAAACAGGAAACTGGAAGAAAACTGTGGATATGGAGCAAGCAAGAACCGAACAAGGGACAAAGTCAGGGAGGGGCGGCAAGGCAGAGAAGCCGGACAGGACAGAGAGATGCGACAAACGAAGAAGCTGCAGTAAGGCAGAACGATGGAGATTACTATAGTTATTACGACAGTTCTAATGATGACAGTAAGTTTAAAGTAATTTAAGAAAATAATTTAATGATACAAAGCCCATATGCATACGCTAGTCAACATAAACCTTACAGAAATTCTAAAAGCGTTTTATAAGTCAAATTAAACGAAACTTTTTGCACTTGTACGTTTTAGTGTTAGCAATTGTTTTTTTTTATTTATTATTATTTCTCTGGTCTACCTAAATATTTAATTTCATTGACTCAGGAAAAGTATCACTTGGAATTAAACATTTTTACTTATTTTTTTTTTCTGTGTATATAATTTAAAACAAAGTTATATAACTTTATATTATTCTTAAATATCCAATGACAAAGAAAGACTTAACGAAACACCCATTAACAGTTTCAGATTAATAATATATAACTTAAGATAATCGTATGATAGATATAAGCAATTATTAGGTATCCCGGAAGGAATACTTTGAGTGTATACCTGAAGTTTCTTATTATTTGTATTAATTTTTCTTCATTCAAGTTTCTCATTTATAACTTGAGAACGCCTAATTCGTTAGGCTTCAAATTTTCAACACTGGTTTCCTGTAACTAGGGAACGATTCATTAAATCACTGGCATGTGGAGATCTCCTCGTATCAAAGTTACGTATAGGACATTCCCAGGTTTTGTTTCATAGCGGTAACTTGAAAACTTTCTAGAATCAGCTACAAACTCAAAAATACTGAATTACTTTACTTAGAAGAAAGTTGAAGCTTAAAACAGTTGGAAGGAAGCATATTCGTGTTATTTCACAGAAAAAATACTGCATCATTTTGTAAATATAACTGACAAAATTGTATGTACACACTCCCACTACAACCTCAGGCTTATTATTATAAGTTTCTTTTAAGTAGGATACACCAGTGATGAGCAACTGAAACTGATCAGAAAACAAATCTATGTATAAACTGACTCACGAAATCGTAATGACACTCGCCACGAGTTCAACCCCCACCCGTGTTATGGTTTAATCTACGCAAAATTAACCAGAGGGCACCTGCACGTGACAATGTATTGCATGAAGGCTGTCCTAGTTACACTATACCAGAATTGAAAGTTGGATGTCACTCGGACAAGGCGCTATCAAGTTATCAACGAAATACTTGGAAGAAAACAAAAGCAGACGAACACTAGAGGTAATCCTTCGCAGATACCAAATAAAAGTTTCAATTGTTCCAGAAATAGAGGTTCTTCAGTAATAGTACATTCTCCCTAGTATCCCAATACTTCCTTTTTTCCAGTTCCGGCAGATCCCGGCGCTGGAGGCCAGGACACAGACGGTGGTGACGGTGCTGCTTATGACTTGTATGAGTATGGTGAAGATGCTGTAATAGGAGATGACGGTGGCGGGGCTGGTAACGGAGGTGGCGGTGATGCTCTTGACAGTGGTGCTGGTGGTGGCTCAAGTGTTGTTGGTGGTAGTTCAAGTGTTGCTGGTGGTGGCTCAAGTGTTGTTGGTGGTAGTTCAAGTGTTGCTGGTGGTAGCTCAAGTGTTGCTGGTGCTGGTTCAGGTGTTGCTGGTGGTGGCTCAAGTGTTGCTGGTGGCGGTTCAGGTGTTGCTGGTGGTGGCTCAAGTGTTGCTGGTGGTGGTTCAGGTGTTGCTGGTGGTGGTTCAGGTGTTGCTGGTGGTGGCTCAAGTGTTGCTGGTGGCGGTTCAGGTGTTGCTGGTGGTGGCTCAAGTGTTGCTGGTGGTGGTTCAGGTGTTGCTGGTGGTGGCTCAAGTGTTGCTGGTGGCGGTTCAGGTGTTGCTGGTGGTGGCTCAAGTGTTGTTGGTGGTGGTTCAGGTGTTGCTGGTGGTGGCTCAAGTGTTGCTGGTGGTGGTTCAGGTGTTGCTGGTGGTGGCTCAAGTGTTGCTGGTGGTGGTTCAGGTGTTGCTGGTGGTGGCTCAAGTATTGTTGGTGGTAGTTCAAGTGTTGCTGGTGGTAGCTCAAGTGTTGCTGGTGGTGGTTCAGGTGTTGCTGGTGGTGGCTCAAGTATTGTTGGTGGTAGTTCAAGTGTTGCTGGTGGTGGTTCAGGTGTTGCTGGTGGTGGCTCAAGTGTTGTTGGTGGTATTTTCAGGTGTTGCTGGTGGTGGCTCAAGTGTTGCTGGTGGTGGTTCAGGTGTTGCTGGTGGTGGCTCAAGTGTTGTTGGTGGTAGTTCAAGTGTTGCTGGTGGTGGCTCAAGTGTTGCTGGTGGTGGTTCAGGTGTTGTTGGTGGTGGCTTAAGTGTTGTTGGTGCTAGTTCAGGTGTTGCTGGTGGTGGCTCAAGTGTTGTTGGTGGTAGTTCAGGTGTTGCTGGTGGTGGCTCAATTGTTGTTGGTGGTGGTTCAGGTGTTGTTGGTGGTGGTTCAGGTGTTGCTGGTGGTGGCTCAAGTGCTGTTGTTGGTGGCTCAAGTATTGCTGGAGTTGGCTCAGGTGTTGCTACTGGTGGTTCAAGCGTTGCTGGGGGTAACCTAGATGGCACCCAGAGCCAGGACCAAGAGGCTGGTGGTGGGGACTACTTAGAGGAGTACGATGTAGGCGCTGAAGGAGACGCAGCAGGCGGTGAAGAAGCTGAGGGAGGAGGAAGTACTGGAACTGCAACTGGTGGAGCAAGTGGGACGGAAACGGAGGGTAGTGGAACTGTAGTGGGAACTGGAACTGGACCTGTAAGTGGAGGAAGAAACAGAACTGATGGAACTGAAAGTGGAGGAGGAACTGGAGGAGGAACTGTTTTGGAAAATGGAGGCCCCAATAGTACAGAGAAGGCAGGAGGAAGTGGTCCTGGGACGGCAGAAGGAAGTGGTCCTGGGACGGCAGGAGAAAGTGGTCCTGAGACGGCAGGAGGAAGTGGTCCTGGGACGACAGGAGGAAGTGGTCCTGGGACGGCAGGAGGAAGTGGTCCTGGGACGGCAGGAGGAAGTGGTCCTGGGACGGCAGGAGGAAGTGGTCCTGGGACGGCAGGAGGAAGTGGTCCTGGGACAGCAGGAGGAATTGGTCCTGGGACAGCAGGAGGAAGTGGTCCTGGGTTTGCAGGAGAAAGTGGTCCTGGGACGGCAGGAGGAAGTGGTCCTGGGACGGCAGGAGGAAGTGGTCCTGGGACGGCAGGAGGAAGTGGTCCTGGGACAGCAGGAGGAATTGGTCCTGGGACAGCAGGAGGAAGTGGTCCTGGGTTTGCAGGAGAAAGTGGTCCTGGGACGGCAGGAGGAAGTGGTCCTGGGACAGCAGGAGGAAGTGGCTCTATTACTGGAGGAGGAAGTGCCACTGTCACTGGAGGAGAAAGTGGCCCTGTCACTGGAGGAGGAAGTGGCACTGTCGCTGGAGTAGAAAGTGGTTTTGTCACTGGAGGAGGAAGTGGCTCTATTAATGGTGAAGGAAGTGGCACTGTCACTGGAGGAGGAAGTGACACTGTCACTGGAGAAGGAAGTGGCCCTATCACTGGGGGAAGTGACACTGTCGCTGGTGGAGGAAGTGGCATTGTCACAGGAGGAGGAAGTGGCACTGTCATTGGAGGAGGAAGTGGCACTCTCACTGGAGGAGGAACTGACACTGTCACTGGTGGAGGAAGTGGCTCTTTCACTGGAGGAGGGAATGGCTCTGTCACTGGAGGAGGAAGTGGCATTCAAGGAGGAAGTGGCAGTGGCACTGGTGGAGGAAGTGGCTCTTCTGGAGGAGAAAGTGGCACTGTCATTGGAGGAGGAACTGACACTGTCACTGGAGGAGGAAGTAGCATTGTCACTGAAGGAGGAAGTGGCACTGTCATTGGAGGAGGAAGTGGCACTAGCACTGGTGGAGGAAGTGGTTCTGGTACTGGTGGAGGTGACACTGGAGGAGGAAGTGGTTCTGGTACTGGTGGAGGTGACACTGGAGGAGGAAGTGGGACTGTAGGAGGAAATGGCACTGGAAAAGGAAGTGGCACTGGGGGAGGAAGTGGCACTGGAGGAGGAAGTGGCACTGAAGGAGGAAGTGGCATTGGAGGAGGAAGTGGCACTGGAGGAGGAAGTGGCATTGGAGGAGGAAGTGGCACTGGAGGAGGAAGTGGCACTGGAGGAGGAAGTGGCACTGGAGGAGGAAGTGGCACTGGAGGAGGAAGTGGCACTGGAGGAGGAAGTGGCACTGGAGGAGGAAGTGGCACTGGAGGAGGAAGTGGCACTGGAGGAGGAAGTGGCACTGGAGGAGGAAGTGGCACTGGAGGAGGAAGTGGCACTGGAGGAGGAAGTGGCACTGGAGGAGGAAGTGGCACTGGAGGAGGAAGTGGCACTGGAGGAGGAAGTGGCACTGGAGGAGGAAGTGGCACTGGAGGAGGAAGTGGCACTGGAGGAGGAAGTGGCACTGGAGGAGGAAGTGGCACTGGAGGAGGAAGTGGCACTGGAGGAGGAAGTGGCACTGGAGGAGGAAGTGGCACTGGAGGAGGAAGTGGCACTGGAGGAGGAAGTGGCACTGGAGGAGGAAGTGGCACTGGAGGAGGAAGTGGCACTGAAGGAGGAAGTGGCACTGGAGGAGGAAGTGGCACTGGAGGAGGAAGTGGCACTGGAGGAGGAAGTGGCACCCCACTACCCACAACGGAAGAATTCATCACGATATTCATAACAGGTGAATAATTTATTTTTATTTCCCATTGGCAACTAGGTGAGTGGCAACTAGGTGACTGGCAACTAGGTACCTGGCAACTAGGTACCTGGCAACTAGGTGACTGGCAACTAGGTACCTGGCAACTAGGTGACTGGCAACTAGGTGACTGGCAACTAGGTGACTGGCAACTAGGTACCTGGCAACTAGGTACCTGGCAACTAGGTGACTGGCAACTAGGTGACTGGCAACTAGGTGACTGGCAACTAGGTGACTGGCAACTAGGTACCTGGCAACTAGGTACCTGGCAACTAGGTGACTGGCAACTAGGTGACTGGCAACTAGGTGACTGGCAACTAGGTGACTGGCAACTAGGTACCTGGCAACTAGGTGACTGGCAACTAGGTGACTGGCAACTAGGTGACTGGCAACTAGGTACCTGGAAACTAGGTGACTGGCAACTAGTTGACTTGCAACTAGGTGACTGGCAACTAGTTGACTGGCAACTAGGTACCTGGCAACTAGGTGACTGGCAACTAGTTGACTGGCAACTAGGTGACTGGCAACTAGGTGACTGGCAACTAGGTGACTGGCAACTAGGTACCTGGAAACTAGGTGACTGGCAACTAGTTGACTGGCAACTAGGTGACTGGCAACTAGTTGACTGGCAACTAGGTACCTGGCAACTAGGTGACTGGCAACTAGTTGACTGGCAACTAGGTGACTGGCAACTAGTTGACTGGCAACTAGGTGACTGGCAACTAGTTGACTGGCAACTAGGTGACTGGCAACTAGTTGACTGGTAACTAGGTGACTGGCAACTAGGTACTTGGCAACTAGTTGACTGTGACTGGCAACTAGGTGACTGGCAACTAGGTGACTGGAAACTAGTTGATTGGCAACTAGGTGACTGGCAACTAGGTGACTGGCAACTAGGTGACTGGCAACTAGTTGACTGGCAAATAGGTGACTGGCAACTAGGTGACTGGCAACTAGGTGACTGGCAACTAGGTGGCTGGCAACTAGGTGACTGGCAACTAGGTGACTGGCAACTAGGTGACTGGCAACTAGGTGACTGGCAACTAGGTGACTGGCAACTAGGTGACTGGCAACTAGTTGACTGGCAACTAGGTGACTGGCAACTAGTTGACTGGCAACTAGGTGACTGGCAACTAGGTGACTGGCAACTAGGTGACTGGCAACTAGGTGACTGGCAACTAGTTGACTGGCAACTAGGTGATTGGTAACTAGTTTACTGGCAACTAGGTGATTGGCAATTAGGTGACTGGCAACTAGGTGACTGGCAACTAGATGGCTGGCAACTAGGTGACTGGAAACTAGGTAACTGGCAACCAGTTGACTGGCAACTAGGTGACTGGCAACTAGGTGACTGGCAACTAGGTGACTGGCAACTAGGTAACTGGCAACTAGGTGACTAGCAACTAGGTAACTGGCAACTAGGTGTCTGGCAACTAGGTAACTGGCAGCTAGGTGACTGGCAACTAGATGACTGGAAACTAGTTGACTGGCAACTAGGTGACTGGCAATTAGGTGACTGGCAACCAGTTGACTGGTAACTAGGTGACTGGCAATTAGGTGACTGGCAACTAGGTGACTGGCAACCAGTTGACTGGCAACTAGGTGACTGGCAACTAGGTGACTGGCAACCAGTTGACTGGCAACTAGGTGACTGGCAACCAGTTGACTGGCAACTAGGTGACTGGCAACCAGTTGACTGGAAACCAAGTGACTGGCAACTAAGTGACTGGCAACTAGGTGACTGGAAACTAGGTAACCGGCAACTAGGTGACCGGCAACTAGGTGACCGGCAACTAGGTGACCGGCAACTAGGTGACCGGCAACTAGGTAACTGGCAACCAGTTGACTGGCAACTGGGTGACTGGAAACTAGGTGACTGGCAACTAGGTGACTGGCAGCTAGGTGACTGGAAGCTAGGTGACTGGGAACTAGACGACTGGCAACTAGGTGACTGGCAACTAGGTGACTGGCAACAAGGTGACTGGCAACTAGATGACTGCAACTAGGTAATGAGGGACAAGGTGACTGGCAATTAGGTGATTGACAACTAGGTGATGGGGACTAAGTGACGAGGCACTGAGTACTAGGCTACTGGGACACTGAGTGCTAGGTGACGGGATGCTGAGTACTATGATTCGGGACACTGAGTACTAGGTGATAAGATACTGAGAACTAGGTGACGTGACACAGAGTACTAGGTGACAGGACATTGAATACTAGGGGACGGGACACTGAGTACTACGGGACGGGACACTGAATACTAGGTGACGGGACACCGAGTACTAGGGGACGGGTCATTGAGTACTAGGTGGCAGGACACTGAGTACTAGGTGACGGGACACAGAGTACTAGGTGACAGGAGACTGAGTACTAGGAGACGGGACACAGAGTACTAGGGGAAGGGACACTGAGTGTTAGGTGACAGGGCACTGAGTACTAAGGGTTGGGACACTGAGTACTAGGGAACAAGACACTGGGTACTAGAGGACGGGACACTGAGTACTAGGTGACAGGACACCGAGTACTAGGTGACGGGACATTGAGTAATAGGTAACAGGACACTAAGTACTTGGTGACGGGAAACTGAGTACTAGG